CTGTGAGCGCAAGTCTGAGAGCGCAATTGTCTGAGAGTGCAAGTGTCTGAGAGCGCAAGTCTGATAGCGCAAGTGTCTGAGAGTGCAAATCTGAGAGCGCAAGTGCAAGTCTGCAGCCAGACCCTCTTGGACAGTGCTGCTGGATCTTCTGAGAACTGAACGGTAACACGGATAGGGTGCCACAATCCAGACCCTGGCATTTCTTTTCTGTCTGCCAGTGGTACATCGTACAAAGTGGTCTCCAGAGTGTTTGACATGTCTCGTTCCACTGTCACCGCGTTGTCCTCCGAGTCACTGAGGAGGTGCTGGCCATTCACCAAGAGATTCACCTCCTGAAGATTCCACTGCTTTCTCTTGCCTAATAGAGAATGGCCAATAATGTATTTGTTAAGCATTCTCTCAAGAAGAGAAAACAGTCTCTCCCTGCTCTCCTGTGCTCTTCTCTTCTCTGTCTCTCTCTGGAGTTTGATGTCCTCTCAGAGTAGCTCCACCAGCTTCCACTCACTCCCTCACCTGTCCCAGGACACTTACAATCCTAAGGCAGAGCAATTAAACCATGCCTGTTAACAACAACAGCACAATGAATTTCAGCAAAAATGTGTGTATTAACTTACTTCGTATTTTTTAAGTCCTTCCCCAGCAGACTCATTTTCTCCAGAATAGTCCTAAAACAAGAGGAAATGGAAACACTTATGACAAAGGTTGTTTCATTGACAAAGTGACATTTAAAAAAAAAAGATTATGTACCCATTTTTTTCCACTGCTTTATCTTGCCTAATAGAGAATGGCTAATAAATAATGTATTTGTTAAGCATTCTCTCAAGAAGAGAAAACAATCCCTCCATTCTCTCCTTGCTCTTCTCTCCTCTGTCTCTCTCTGGAGTTTGATATCCTCTCTGAGCAGCTCCACCAGCTTCCACTCACTCCCTCACCGGTCCCAGGACACTTGCAATCCTAAAGGCAGAGCAAATAAACCATGCCTGTTAACAACAACAGCACAATGAATTTCAGCAAAAATGTGTGTATTAACTTACTTCGTATTTTTTAAGTCCTTCCCCAGCAGGCTCATTTTCTCCAGAATAGTCCTAAAACAAGAGGAAATGGAAACACTTATGAAAAATATTAAGACGGGTGCAATCTTAACATTAGAAAATATGACACTGCAGGACATGCATACAAAATACTGAAGTGCTCATCCTGAGTTTACGATCTTGACGCTGTGACGCAGTCGCACTTCAGATGCGCACTTCGGAGTGCGCGGACCTCACTTTGGGACACGACACAGCTCTTGGCTTTACTGTCAGCGTTTAGTCAAGCTCGTGCCACTGTGTCACTGTCTGAAGCCATAATGCGCTTAACAACGCTGTTTATCGTCCTCTGCGCTTATCAAGGTGAGTTAATGTATTACACTAGTTATAGTAATATTCGTAAGATGTTTGTGGGATTGGGACACAATATCGATTGATAAATCTCGTGACATGTTTATCTCTAAATACTTGTGCGCACTGTATTTGGAAATAAAACGAATATCTCTGCTATTATTCTACATGTTGTTGGCTAATTATTCTCCTAAAGTACGACATTTTCCCCACTTTTGTAATGCGTGACAGTTTTTGGGGCAGAGGTGGTAAAACATGTCTGGCTCAACCACATTCCTGCTTTTGCAATTTAAGCAAATAGGATATACTTCCTGTTTGTGGTCGCCATTGTTTACATATTGCGATATCTGCGTGCGTGTTCCCTATTTACCGTATTCTCTTAGTAAATCGGTAAAAATATACAGACAGATGACAAAATAAGGCGAAAACCAACATGAAGACTATTAGTAGGGTGTTGGGCCACCAGAACAGCTTACATGCTCCTTGGCATTGATTCTGCAAGTCTAAGAAGGGCTTGACCCTAACCTTTTCCCCAAGGAGCACATGTGTTCCTAAGTTGAAAAATGTAGAAGCGCAATGCAAATTTGTCAAAGTATGTGTTTTAGCTTAATAAGGGGGATATGAGACATTTACAAGCACAATTATTTAATTGATCAGAATACAGAAAGTACACACGGTTTTTAAATAATTTTGTTTCAGACTCTATTTAATAGGCTAATTATATAATTATTTATAGTCCTATTATATTATATGTAGCCTACATTAGGTATGTGATGGTATTACATTTTCACAATAGTCGTTTAAGCTTTTGTCACGGTATCACAATATATAAATTAGTAAGAGAAAAAAAGTGTTGTCCTCCTAACAGGTTAAATAACTTTATTAAAGAAAGACTTTATTTAAAAAAACAAATACACAAAAATATAAAGTAAACCAGTGTTTCAAGGTTAGAGTGCAAAAGATTAACGTTCAGATGAACGAAAGAACAATAGGTAACACTTTACAATAAGGTCCCGTTTGTTAACATTATTTAAAGCAGGTTAACATTAACTAACAATATGCAATAGCTAATTGTTGCAGTAGTTAATATTATTTGTTAACGTTGACTAATAAAATTACAACTATTTATTGTTAGTTAATGTTAGCTCCATTGAATAATATTAGCAGACACAACTTTTGATTTTATAATGTATTATTAAAAGTTGAAATGAACAAACTATGATTAACAAATGCAATCATTGTTAATTCATGTTAACAAATGTAGTTAATTAATGTTAATGGAACCTGTTAAGTGTTACAGAACATACAATAATAACGAATCAGTTAGATAGGCCATGTTTTAGGTTCGATTAAAAGGAAAAAAATGTTTAAGTTTGAAATTAAACGGCTCATTAAGTCTTTAAGTAATTATTTGGTGCTATGGTGAAGACTAAAGTGAATATAAATATCTAAATGACTATGAAACATTGGGCAAATTCCAAACGGCTTTTTTGCGCCCTTGAAGGGCACTTCGGGAAGGGGACGCCATTTGTAGGGACGTTCCAAACGAATCCCTTCGCGAAGGTCCCTCCCAGAAGTCCGTTAGCAAAGGGAATATGCGATGGTCACTTCACGGAAGTGATTTCCGTTTGTGATCATGTGATCTTCGGTTAGGAGATCTTGCGACGCATTTTAAAGCAAAGTTGTGGTTCATTTCGACTTCACATACAAACGTAAGTAATTTAATAGCTAATTAAATTTGTCTTTATTTTAATGTAATACAAAAATGTTTTCGTCAGAAATATTATTTAAGATGGTAGTGTAAGCAAGTTTAAGCAAGTTTAGTTTGAAAAAGCTTAATAGTAAATAAGTAAATAATTAGAAATATATATTTGCAACAACTGGTGGAGTGCTGAATGCACGCATGCGCAGCATTGTCAAGGTAACATTTGGTCAGTCATTCCCTTCGCCAAGGGAGTTCCAAACGCTTATACGAGACAGTAATGCCCTGCACCCTTCAAAGAACACATTTCAAGGGCCCTGCCCTTCGAAGGGAGTAGGGCATAGGGATGCTCACTTCCGTTTGGAATTCGCCCATTATTTACACAGTTCAGAAAGTAGTGCAGCTGCTTTGTTTACAGGGTTACCGGGGTAACGGCAGCGTCAGCGCCCTCTAGTGGCGAGTGTGTGTTTTCATTCAGTGTGTCCCCTTCCCTCGCTCCACCTTTCTTCTCATCTGTGCTCAAAAAAAACGTTTTTTTTTTTTTATTTCAGTAATCATATGAGGCTGTATTGCTGTTTTTCCATAAATAAATTGAAGAAATTAATACGTTTGTTATAGGCTACTGTGTAAGTTAGGCTGTTTAAGAAATTGTATTTACGCTCATGCTCCTAAATACATTTTCCTATTTTTAGTCGCAAATGCGAGTGAACTGCTAGCACTGTCCAGCCCTGCTAAGGACATGGGACACGATTCCTTCATTTGAAGTTTTGATAATATGATAGGCTTAAACTGTGTGTTATGCCCAACATTTTATTGTGATGTTTCTATTTTGTGATATTTTCCAGTTTGCTCACCGCCGAGTAACATTTCAGGAGAAAATTCTAGACAACTGGATGCAGAAGAGGGTACAACTGTTTCACCGAGAACAGCTGCAAAAGGGCCAAAAAGTAATGATGTAGACACTTCAAATAATAATGATCCAGATTACAAAATAGGTGAAAAACCAAATGAAGAACAGAAGAACCCATCTGCCAGCAATAAAGAAAGTAATAAGGAAATTGCCCCTCAAACTCCTGAAGAAACTCAAAGCAAAAATAATGAAGCAAACAATGAAAAGAGTCAAACCCTAACTGAAGGTGTTAATGAAAACACACCCCTGGAAAATGCTAACAAAGATGAAGCTGAGTCAAATAATGAAGGAAAAGACAAGCTGCCCGCACTTGCCCAAAATGAAACAGACAATCCAAAAAACAACAAAGAAACTGATGAAGCTGCACCAAAAGAAGAGGCTAAAGAGAAGATGACCTCAGCTGAACTAAATAAAGAAGATGATGCACAAGCAGGCTCTAAACCTGCTGAAGGTGGTGGAGAAAAACCAAAAGATGATGGAACAGGTCAAGAGGAGCATAAAGACGTAGGTGAACCAACTGGTGACAAGAAGCCGACCATAGCTGACCAAAAAGAAGAGGCTGAAGACAATAAGAACTCTGAACCTTCTGAAGAGGGTGAAGATGAAACAGATGGCAAGAGTGAAGAGAAGTCACCTGGACCTGAGATCCCTACAGATGAAGACGTACAAAATGGTGATTCAGCAAATGACCCTGAAGAAGGTGAAGGTGAAGGTGAAGATACTGTTGATGAACCTTCAAATGAACAGGATACATTTAACAGCAAAACAGAAAAGAAGGAAAATAAAGTGAAAGCTTATCAACAAGAGGAGAGTGCAGAGAACAGCCACTTCTTTGCCTATCTGGTCTGTGCCGTTATACTGGTGGCTGTGCTGTATATCGCCAGTCACAACAAGCGCAAGGTTAGTGGGTCTGTTTGTACATGCACCTTTTTCCATCCTAGAGACTTTGTGCGTTTTTAGTTTTTTTACTGCTGTATTTTAAAGATGTCAAATAGCAATTAAATGACTTTAATTCGCCTTTGCCTGCAGATCATTGCCTTCGTCTTTGAGGGCCGGAGATCAAGAGGCACACGGAGACCCAAGTCATCTGATTACCACAAACTCGACCAGAGTGTAAGTAGCATTACGTACACACACAGTGAGTTAAGGCTCCTATCTATTCCTTTTATTTTAAAATATTTGAAAAATACATAAACGGACTTAAAAAAAAAAAATGCACACATTTTCTAAATTAAAATTCCTATTAATAATGTGTTTATCAAGCATAAAGTAAAACATTCCAGGGTGATAAAACTGTCATAATATCATATTGAAGGAAAAATATAAAAATAAAACCTTAAGTAGTTTAAAGGGGTCATGAACTGCCTTTTGTACTTTTGTACTGTTTTCTGAGGTCCACTTATAATGTTACCTAGATTTTACATCATAAAACATCATAATTTAGAAGTAATAGGCTATATTTTTGACCCCCCTCATCAGAACGCTCTGTTTGAATAGGCGTGGCGGATCATAGACTCGGAAGTAAACACCCACGGCTATGATTGGCTAACAGTTGTGTATTACATTCCTCACAGATGGACACCGCAGTGATTTAGATCAGAAATGCATAAATAACTCAATACATATTAAACAATCTGTAATGACAGGCAAAGCAATAGTGATTACGTAATAAAAACAGTTACTCACACTTGTGTGTTGCAATATAGTCGGCACAGCGTCATCTTTTAGTTTCAATCTTTCTGAAAATCCTGCGTCGATTGTGCCTTGTTTGTAAACAAATACGCTGTAAAATGAAGTGAACAAAGGACAACGTTCTTACCGACACGGTCTGGAACTTTATTAAAAATAAAGTTCATCAAATCAAATTTATCGTGTGGTTTCAAGACCTGCGTTTGTCGCTGTCAAAAACGTTTTGAGTTCTGAAACTTACAGAATATTTTTATAACACAATCCTCTTATATGTCAAACGAACAAGGGAATTTTGATTTCTAAGTTCATGACCCCTGTAATAAAGCTTTTATATGTTTAACAAAACCACTTTGTAACAAAGTTCGTAGTCACGGGAAGAAGGAGGCGGGAACCGGCGAACATTTGAACAAAACTTTAATAATAAAATAAACACAAAATAGCGCGACAGCCCCTCGCGGACGACTGTCTCGGACAAACAGAACCAAAACACAAAATAAAGTCCAGGCCTGGTTCTCTCTCGTCCAACACTGTCGTCACTCCTCCTTTTATCCTTCCGGAGCTCCTCTGTGGGACTCGAGACCGGTGAGTGGCGCAGGTGTCGCACATTAGCTTTTACTCCACCGGCCTCGTTCTGCTCCCACGGCTCTCGGCCCCGCCCCTCTCGTCACACACTTTTTAGTATTTTAAAAACTTAAGTCCGCTAAATCAGTCATGTTGTGTAACCAACATGCATGGAAACAAATCAAATGAAAACATAAAACAGGAAATGATTTCATAGAGAGGAGCTGTGTAGACGCTCATTTGACTTTTTATGACAAGACAAAGTTAGTTCAGAAAGTAATGTGGTGTGAAAACTCCCCAAAACTTTTACTATATTTGTAAAAAGACTGATTTATTAAAACACTTAAATCTATTCACACATATATTCAAGGTGTTCAAGGAAAATATGTCATTATTATGATTAGTGTTCTCTTTTTAGTTAGTTACACCACATGAAATTTTGAGAGAATGTGGAATTTGAGAAAATTTGAAGTTTCTTAATGTTATGAAAGGTTTTCGAAATAATGTGAAGAGGATATGTTTTAAGCTGTTTTTAAATATTTTCTCTTTGTTTTTATCAGTTATACTCTTATTTGTCATTAACCCAAATACAAGTTAAACTCAGTTATGCAACTAAACAAAAAGCTTGCTAGTTGAATGTAACCTAATTATGTTGAGCTGCAACATAACACACAATTTAAATCATAAGAACAACACTCTGATTTTTGCACCTTTTCCACCATCAGCCAAACTGTGCCATTCTGAAATATAACTGTAGCCGTTCCTTATCATTCTTAAGCCCCGTTCACACCAAGGACGATAACTATAAAGATAACGATAAAGATATAGTTCTAAAAATCGTTCTCAGTATTAAAGAATAGCAGAGTCCACACCACAACTATAACGATAAAGACAAAGAGAAACTATATCGTTGTGATCACTTTCAGAACGATTTTTCTCCAGCTGATGAACGACACAAACATTGACAGCCAATCAGAATCCATCCTGCTGTAACGAGCTCGAGAATTTAAAGCGGCAGACGAGTGTGCACTTAGAATAAACAGACGATATCGTTCGCTGGTGTGGACGCTAATATCGTTATCTTTATAGTTATCGTGCTTGGTGTGAACGGGGCTTTAGAACCCGTTCAGCCCGATGGTGGAAAAGCAGCTTATGTTAATCAAATAAAACCGTCCAATAAAAACATCTGTTGCCACGTTATTACATTACATTAAGTAACAGTTTTTACTGCAGTAGAATTTAGTTGTTAAACCAATCAATTCTCTTACATTTGAACTGAAATTTTATTGTGTGTTCTGTATTCTGTTTTCCAGTGAGAAAACCCAGTCAGATGAGTCAGCGGTGGATGAATCTAAATATTTGAAGTGTGATTTTGAAACTTGAATTATCCATAATGAGGCATATATCACCACTCATAAACATTGCACAGAAACTGTCACTAACTCATCCAAAATGATATTAATAATGACAAATTCTCATCCATCCGTAGCATGTCAGGTATGTTGAAAACAATGTCTCTTGTAGTTCTAAAATGTCTGGGACGATCTTCAGTCAGGTTTAGAGTGTTACGAACACACCGGTACATATTGCAGATGTTGGTTCTGTGGCCTCTCGTTCTATTTAATTTCCGAGCCTTTTTTGGTAGAGTTACGTGGTTGTCTTTGTTTTTTCTTTTTCTCAATTTATTGCTGGGCGAAATATGTAATACCGAAGGAACCGATATGTATATTTTTGAAAGTATATGTTGGCTGCTTTTTCATGAAGATGAATGACGTTTAATGGGAGATTGGGAATGATTGAGTTTTGAAATGTTCTTCTTGACATTTCTTGAGCACTTCTTGAAGCTGATCGCACACATTTATGGGACAGGTGAATTCTTTCTACAGGTGTGGATTAGAAAAGGAGTGGCAAGCTTTTGTTCTTCTGTTAAAGATGTTCAAAACACCATGAAAGCATCTTAACTGCTCTATGAATGCTAAGTTAGCTTTAAAGGGCTCAACACAAAGGATTTTATTTGCTGGCCAAGTCAGACCAGTCCAGTTCATACTTGCCCTTTTCACTGGCCCAAGAACAAAAATAATTTAATGCGTCAGAAAGAAATGTTTTATATATATATATATATATATAATTTTTTTTTAAATACTATCATTTATTAGGGTTTAAAGCAATTTAAATACATTTAATTGCATACAGTGTGCACACCATCTATGCTGTGAGGTGTTTGAGTGGGTTTAGTCTGTTTATGTTGTATTTGAATTGATCAGTCAGGGGTTCGGTTGTGGTTTTTTAAATGGACTGCATTTGGACACTTTGAGGAAAAAACACTACAGCCCTGATTTTGACGAGTTGCACTTTTCATTCTTCTAAAAGCTTTGACTCAAGTGACTTTAACGTTGTAAGAAGCCATCCAGTTCTGGAGTCAGTCCACTGTTTAGCTGATGAAGAAACCACCGTTGTTGTTTGCAGCAGTCAATGATGCATTTGAAAGATATGGTGTACAGTAGGATTATAATTACCCACGCTTGATTTATGAAGCAAGAGTTCTGTGCCAAATCTAGATAATGCCCAGGAATGAGAAACAAAGGGATATATATTCATACTCCTCTTATCCTAAAAGTGGGAAATATTGTGGATGTTTTATTTGGCGCGATGTCAAACACTTATCACACTCCTGTTGTGCCTACTGAGATTCCCGCTGTATTCTCCGTTAAACCTGTGATTGATGATTTGACATTTAACCAGTGGCTTTGCACAACCACTTTTCTTGAAATTCTGGACCTATTTTGAATTATTATGTGGGTAAAAATATATGAAGGGGGTTTAACTTACCTATTTACTGTGGTCAATCATTTATCACTATTGAAACTTTTTTTTTCACAAGTGATATTCTTTCTACACTGAAAAGAGATGAAATAAAGGTTTGACTTTTCCTCTGACTGGTCTCTTCTTGTCACCGGAGTTATTATTGTGAACTAAAACTAAAAAACTTAACTAAAAACGTCAATAAACATTACCTGAAATAAAAAATAAATAAATAAACTTCAACATTTTTTAATTCAACATTGTAAGTTGAAGTACTAAAATAAAGCTAAATAAACCAATTAAATTTATTTAAAATTAAATAGACTACATATATAAACTAATAATAAATAAAAAAAATGTATTAATCAATTTATTATAAATAAAAAGTTTTTGAACAGTAAGATTTTTACTGTTTTTTTTTTTTTTTTAAGAATTCTCTTCTGCTCACCAAGCATGCATTTATTTGATCCAAAAGCAGCAATATTGTGAATTTTTTTTTTTACTATTTAAAATAACTGCTTTTTATTTTAATATAGCACTGGGTTGTATTTAACCCAGCATTTTTTAGAGTGTATGGTATGAAAAGAGCAGGTATGTAGAATGATGGTATGTATGTTGGTGTTGGAGAAGTGTAGTATTGTGAATAACTGCTTGCTGGCATGACTGGTGTCCCATTAAACCCTAAAGTGTTAACTGATGTGTGTGTCTGTAATGGTGGCTGACCTAAATGTGAGTAGGTGAGCCTCTGTGCTGGTCTTTGATGTCTTGTAGATCTATTGAAGGGGGATTTTGTGTAGTTGTGTTTGGGTTAGTTAGGACAACATGAAGAGGCCCATGGAACCTTTAAGATCTGAAGACTGTTTGTGTGGAAGAATGGGCCAAAATCACACCCGAGCAATGCATGCGACTAGTTTCTCCATACAGGAGGCATCTTGAAGCTGTCATTACCAACACAGGCTTTTGTACGAAGTATTAAATACATTTCAGCAAGCATGTTCAATACTTTTTCCCTGGGTCATTCCATTTTATTACACAGAACTTAATTTTAATTTCTTATTTCTATTGGTTTCTTGTATGTGTGGGTCACTTAGGTTGTTACCAACACCTGGTGAAAATTTCATGTCAACAGCACTTTTAGAAATATATTTACTGAGAAAAATGTTGATGTGTTCAATACTTATTTTACCCACTGTATATACATATAAATAGAAATAAACATAAATAAAAATGAAATATACTAAAATAATTTAATTTGTGGGGGTGGTCACACACTATACCATTCAAAACTTGGAGCCAGTATAATTTTTTTTTTTTTGGAAAGAAATTATAGAAACTAATATTTTTATTTAGCAAAGATGCTTTAAATTGATCAAAAGTGTTACAAAATGTTTCAGATAAATGCTGTTCTTCCGAACGTTCTGTTAAAGAAACTTGAAAAAAGTATACTCCGCTGTTTTCAACATAATAATAATAACAATTTCTTGAGCAGTAAATCAGAATATTAGAATGATTTCTGAAGGATCATGTGACTGGAGTAATGATGTTTAAAATTCAGCTTTGAAATCACAGGAATAAATTACATTTTACAATATATTCATAGAAAACAGTTAAATAGTAAACAAATATTTCAAACTTTTACTGTTTTTGCTGTACTTTGGATCAAATAAGTGCAGGCTTGGTGAGCAGATGAGAATTCTTAAAAAAAAAACATTAATAATAATAATAATATTGCATTTTATTTGAAATGCGCTTTTCTTAAACCCAAAATGTTACAGTAAAACTAAAACACAAAAAGAACAACACAAAAATACAAGCATTAATTAAAAACAACCTTAAATAAATGCATTCATTACTCCAGTCTTCAGTGTCACATGATCCTTCAGAAATCATTCTGCTGATTTGCTGTTTAAGAAACATTTTTTATTATTATGATCAATATTTAAAACAGTTGAGTACATTTTGTTTCAGGGTTCTTTGATGAATAGAAAGATCCAGCTTTGAAATCACAGGAATAAATTACATTTTACAATATATTCATAGAAAACAGTTAAATAGTAAACAAATATTTCAAACTTTTACTGTTTTTGCTGTACTTTGGATCAAATAAGTGCAGGCTTGGTGAGCAGATGAGAATTCTTAAAAAAAAACATTAATAATAATAATAATATTGCATTTTATTTGAAATGCGCTTTTCTTAAACCCAAAATGTTACAGTAAAACTAAACCACAAAAAGAACAACACAAAAATACAAGCATTAATTAAAAACAACCTTAAATAAATGCATCTTAATCAAAATTTTAAAGTGATCCAGAGTTGGTGCATTTCTGATATTAAAAGGAAGTGCATTCCATAATTTGGGGGCTACAACACATATATATTTTAATATATGTATACACCATACATATGGTATGCTTGAAATCTGTTACAGGTCCCGGGCAGTCAGGAAGACTGTAAGCAGTAATCAACTTGGCAGTAAATGAGAGAGACAAGAGTTACGGTCACGGTCCCCTTTGTTGTCTGAGGATGAGCTGCAGTCATCACGGTAACTCAACTCTCTCAACTGACACCCAGAATTCAGAAAATGCAGCTGAACTCTTCAGTGTAAACTCATTATAATACATTTAAGTAATTAATCATTCTGCTGATTTGCTGTTTAAGAAACATTTTTTATTATTATGATCAATATTTAAAACAGTTGAGTACATTTTGTTTCAGGGTTATTTGATGAATAAAAAGATCCAAAGATCAGCATTTATCTGAAATAAAAAGCTTTTGTAACATTATAAGCTTGTTACAGGTCCCGGGCAGTCAGGAAGACTGTAAGCAGTAATCAACTTGGCAGTAAATGAGAGAGACAAGAGTTACGGTCACGGTCCCCTTTGTTGTCTGAGGATGAGCTGCAGTCATCACGGTAACTCAACTCTCTCAACTGACACCCAGAATTCAGAAAATGCAGCTGAACTCTTCAGTGTAAACTCATTATAATACATTTAAGTAATTAAAATTAGTGCTATCAAACGATTAATCGCATCCAAAATAAAAGTTTTTGCTCACATAAAAAAGGAAGTGCATTCCATAATTTGGGGGCTTTGAATGAAAAAGCTCTTTCCCCCAGTCTTAAGTTTGCATGATAAAGTAAAAGAGAACTGGCAGAGTGGAGAGAGCGAGAAGGAGTACATGAACTTATAAGAGAGCAAAGATACGCTGGTGCAGTCCCATGTAGTGCTTTGTTTAATTTGTTAAATTTTTTAGAATTGTAAAATCAATCCATTGAAAGCCAGTGTAACTGTGAAAACACTGTGTAATGTGTTTCCGTGGACTAAACACACAAGCAGCAGAATTTTGAATGTACAGGAAGGCCAGAAAAATCATTAAAAATCTTACTGTTTAAAGACTTTTGACTGGTAGTGTATTTAAAAAAAAATAAAAATGACAAAAGCACACAAAATGACTAAAACTAAAAGTGTGACTGAATACACGAAATATAAAATAAAATTCAAATTATTAACAAAAACTATAATGACACTCAATGACACTAAATTTACATTGACCTGAATGTAAACATTCAAATAATAATGAAAAACCCTAAAAAAAAATGGCAGTAAATGAGAGAGACAAGAGTTACGGTCACGGTCCCCTTTGTTGTCTGAGGATGAGCTGCAGTCATCACGGTAACTCAACTCTCTCAACTGACACCCAGAATTCAGAAAATGCAGCTGAACTCTTCAGTGTAAACTCATTATAATACATTTAAGTAATTAAAATTAGTGCTATCAAACGATTAATCGCATCCAAAATAAAAGTTTTTGCTCACATAATACAGTATATGTGTGTACTGTGTATATTTATTATGTATATATAAATACAAACACTTGCATGTATATACTGAAGAAAA